TTTGCTTGATTAATACCGAAGGAATGTCATATTAATATCCCAGAAGCACTGTATTTAAATATTGATTAAAAACAACGACATGATCTCGGTTTTAATGAACAATGATAAAAATACCAAAACATAAAAAAATAACTTAAATATAACAACTTAACCTATTTATGCAAATAACAAAGAAAAGCTACTAAAAACTAATTTAATACTTCTTATTGCCCCCCTCCTAGCCTCTATAACTGCCTGTACATTTCGGCTCATGTTGTCTATGAGGTTGAGAATATCATCTTGCTGGATGTTTTGCAATTAATCTTCTAGAGCTAAGCGAAGTTCGTTAATTAAGTCTGGTGAGACTTCGCGACCTCTAATATTTCTACCAAGCATGTCCCAAACGTGCTCTATTGGGTTCTGATATGACGAAAACGCTAGTAAGTTCATTTTATTAATACCAACTTCCTCTAAATATGGCGTGATACACATTACAGTGTGGGGTCGATTATTGAATAGAAAATCATCGCCGATATATTGAGCAAAAGGGTACTACGTGATTCACTAAAATTTCTTCAATATACCGGTGTGCAGTCAATGAACCCGCAGTAAATAGCAATTCAGTGTGCGCCTCTCGGGATATTCCTGTCCATACCATCACCGAACCCCCTCCATGGCTAACGCGGGGACTCTAAACGCACTCCTCAAATCTCTCTCCAGTTCGACGCCATACTCGTTCTCTCCCATCTGATGAGACAGTATCTCGACTCATTTGTAAAAGAACATTACTCCATTGTCCTAAATTCCGATGTAAATTTTTCCTGGAAAATTTTAGTCCAGCCACTTTGTGCCGTGGAAGTAATTTGGGGCCAATTGCTAGTCTGCAACTTTGCAAACTAAATTCATGTAATCTTCGATAAACTATAAATGCACTTACATTATTGACTCGAACCTCTTGAAGCTGATTTCTTGTTTGCACCGCTGTTAAAAGACGATACCGCAAAGCATTAACTCGTTTAAAACGATCATCTAAAGCAGTAGTTTTGCGCTTCCTGTTACTTTCCGTTTACCCTTGTTTGTTCCAGTTCTTATAAAACGTTTCACTACCCTTTGGATAAGTATGTAGTACTCTGGCCACATATTCATAATTTCGCCCATCTTCAATCAGAGCAACGGCTTTCGCACAATCTTTGACACTAAGAACCATGATCAATCATACGTGAACAAAATGTAAGTGCCAGAATGACATAATTAAAACAGTCACCAAAACCACCTCGTCTTATTACAAAATAATGTGGATGGCAAATTCATTTGGCTCTTAAAAATAAACTAAGGCATATTTTGACATGAAACAAAAAACACAATGCTTAGGAGCCATGGTTGCAACCGAAAAATAAGGTTTTACGAAAATTCGCTTACGGAATTATTCAATAGGATGTTTCAAAGTTAGGATAATAAAACCACGTTTTAATTAACCCCGTACAGTAAGTCACTGGACTACTAGCTTAGACTCAGCTACTGGACCAGATGATGTGCCCATCAAATTATTAACACTCATCGATACAGATGTTATTGATGTATTGGTTGAACTCTTTAATCTAATATATCAGACTGTCACAATCCCCAGACAATGGCTGCAATCGACCTTTGTAGCAATTTCCAAAAAGCCAAGTGCAACAACTTGCTCAGATCACAGAACAATAGTTTTAATGAGTCATACCCTTAAAACATTTTTGAAAATAATTCACAACAGAATTGTTAAAACTCTTGAATATGAAATTAGTGACAAACAATTTGGCTTTAGAAATGGTATGAGTACAAGAGATGCTTTTGTCGGCTTGAATGTGCTGGCTCAGAGATTCATGAACATGAATCAGGACATGTACTTATGTTTTGTAGACTTTGAAAAGGCATTTGATAAAGTTCAACATAAAAAGCTGGTAGATATATTAAAAAGCAAAAATATTGACAGTCGTGATATGAAAATTATATCTAATTTATATTGTAATCAAACTACCAAGGTAATAGTTGACAGCCAGTACACCCAAAATATCAAAATACAGTGAGGAGTCCGCCAGAGTTGCGTGCTGTCCCCACTACTTTTCAATGTCTACAGTGAAGCGGTATTTCAAGAAGCGCTCTCAGACTCAATAGAAGGTATAACTATCAATGGAGAAGTTTGGATAACTTACGTTTTGCAGACAATACATTAATAATGACGGATAACAACAATGATTTACAGAACGTAATGCAACGCCTTAATGAATGCTGTCATAAGTACGGACTGAAGATAAATTTAAAGAAAACTAAATACATGATCATGACTAAATCTGCGCATGCAAATATCCAATTGACTATTGAAGAAACTGCAATTGAGAGTTTTAATAACTATAAATACTTAGGAATATAGATTGTAGCGTTTTATATTTAATGTCTAAATAATAATATAAATTCGATTCTATATAGTACGCCCTGGTACGCTAGAAATGTGTTGTCTGTAGAGATTTTTAAATACGCAATAATTCTTCAATAAATAAAAACGTATTTGCTAAAGAGAACAATTTATGGCTTTTTAACTTCAACGTTCCCAGAAAAATATTGCAATCTTGGTATTATTTTTTCTAAAGCGCAGTAACGCCGGATGTTTTGAACGAATTTGAGTAAAGAATTTGTTGATTTGACAAGATGGCAATGGTTTTGTGCGGGGAAAAGAGGGGTTACTATTCGGAGATTGTGATCGAGAGGGTCAGCGAAGTCAGTGATGAATAATTGCTCGCAGCGAAAGGTCGTTTTAATTATGATGTGGTAAACCGGCATTCATTCGCCAAAATGGTGGAATTTTCATTCTAAGTAATATGTCGTTTCTGAAAGAGTGACCAGTAACCACTGTTTTTATTTTGGCTGAAGATTTATGATGTTTGAGCAGTGAACAAGTTTAGTTCCTGTTTTGTTTTTCGTTTTTTGAGAAATCCAGTTCTTTCCGAGATGCCCTTTTCACCTCATGTAGAATAATATTGGAGCAGTTTTGATTTGGATATGCCAGTTTCAGCTTCCAATAAAGCTTTCTGTTGATGTGCAGTTGGATACCCCGCAGAAGTTAGCCAGTTGTTCGAAAGTTTAAGTTAACATGTGTGAACTGAGGTAACATTTACGTTATTAATTTTTAAAGTAAAAATAGACATTTTCTTTTAAAAAGACAAAATTTGCTTTCTTTTATCAATTATTTAAGGAAATATATATTTGTAATTATATTATGTTAGGGCCTGGTTTAAACTGTCATGTCATAATTTTATCCTGTTTTAAAAATGTTTGTTTTGACGTATGACAGTTTGATTTTTAATCTATTTTGATTTGTAGTAAAGATTAAATTTTATTCTTTATAAAAGGATATCCATAAAATTTGGCCACATTATCTACTAGGAACCATTTCAGAGAATTTTGTAACCTTTTGTTAACAGATATGTAAGTTTTTTGTCATTTGTATTTGACATATTTTGTCATATATAATATGCCTTTGTTGCTGTAAGTTGTATTGCTTTATAAGCTGTATTTTTGAAAACTGTTTGAGACAATAATAAATGTTTAATTTGTTTCTCTTATCTATTTTGAGTTTTATTTGAAAAAGATATTTTTTTTCTATATTTTTGATGTTATACAATTATTTCCCTAGTTACAACTAGTGGTTGTAATAGGTATAATTGGGCACCTCAAGTGGCGCCCTATATTAAATTTCTTGAGGTGTTTCCGTTTATTTTCATTCTGTTTGTCCAATAGATTCGTATAAGTACCTTTTATTTCCTTTTTTGTAGTTGCCCCAATCCAACCCCAATATCTTCAACTTATCCACGACCCAGCTCTCCAACAACCAACTGAGTGTCGTATGCACTTGTTTCGATTATTTTGTTTGCCCAATCTTGTCCCCCATATTCTTACCCTGTGGTAAGCAAAATAGTTGTTACAAGATAACGTCGGATGTAGACCAAACCAAAGAAATTAAGACACGTATTGAAATAGCACGTGCATCATTCAATAAACTTAAAAAGTTTCTTTGTTGTCGGGATATAAGGTTAGAACTACGCCTGAGAATGCTTCGATGTTACGTGTTCTCTACTCTTCTTTATGGCGTCGAAGCGTGGACACTAAAACAAGTTCATCTGAATAAGTTGGCCGCCTTTGAATTTTGGTGTTACAGAAGAATCCTACGAATATCATGGATTCAAAGAATGTTAAACGTAGAAGTAACTAGAAGGATAGGAAATGAGACGGAAATAATATTAACTATCAAAAGACGAAAACTTGAGTACTTGGACATGTGATGAGAGGTCAAAAATACGCATTATTACAACTTATTATGTAAGGCAAAATCCGAGGAAAGCGAAATGTGGGGATACGAAGAATATCCTGGCTTAAGAACTTAAGGGAATGGTTTGAATGCAGTTGTGCAGAACTTTTTAGAGCGGCAGTCAACAGAGTCCGCATAGCCATGATGATTTCTAACCTTCGATAGAAGATGAAACTTAAAGAAGAAGAACAAGTATAAAACAAAGTTTTATCAAAAAAGGTGACTATACCAAATTAAAATTTATAAATGTTTACACAATGTGCTAAAAAAAACAACAAAATAGGGCTAAAAATAAAAAAATTTAAATACTTTGAATTTGACCAAAATTTTCTCCGTTGCTGTTTTTGCATCTGAGTATACTATTAAAATTTTCGTTTTCTCTTAACTTTCTTCGTTATTATTTTTATACTTGCATTAATATTTTTTGCAGGTTTCTCATATAATAAAGTGTCAGTCTTAAAACTTAAAAGCGCTAATTATTAAAGCAATAGTCATGAATCCGACTTACGATCTTAGATACCCTAGAAACGCTCTGGAGTTCATTAATTTGTGCAGAGTAGCTACTAAATATTAATTACAGGAGAGAAATCACTCAACTCGTTTAGAATTCGGAAGTAACTGAACATTTCCAGTTGTAAAAGTAATTACATTTAGTGCAATTAGATAAGATTGAAGCTGTATGGACTTTGGGTAAATCAAACAGCAACGAAAAATGCTAATTTAACTGGATGTTAATCGTCCCATTCGTTAAATTGAATGGAAATACATAAAACAAATATTTTTTTACATTAATTAAGAAAAGAAAAATCATTTAGTTAATAAAATTGTATCTAAAAAGAAGATCCACAATTAGAGAGGTACATATCAAATCTACTTAACACCGCACTTAAACTTACCGCAAAAGTCATAACCAACAAAATTAATAAATTAACAACTTTATCAAATGAACAACAAGGATTCAGATCCGGAAGATATTGCGTAGACGCCATATTTGTACTAAGACAAACTACAGAAAAGTCCATCGAGAACAATAAACCAGCTTATCTATGTTTAATAGACCTGACAAAGGCTTTGATCGCATCCAGGTTGAAGACGTCTTACAGCTACAGTATAAAAAAAACAACAATTGTACCCTAAGGTGACTCCTCTCCTGTGTAGTATGGCGGCAATTTCATCGTCCCAGGTCTTCATGGGTCTGCCCCTCTATCTTTTCAAGGTTCTTCTCGCTTTCCACACTTGTTTCACTTGACTTTTTTATCCATCCTTACCATGTGGCCGTACCATGTCAGTTGGGTTTCTTCAATTTTCTTCTCTATTGATTGGACTTTAAGGCATTCTCTTATTTCATCGTTTCGTATTCTGTCCATTCTGGTCACCCCTAGTGCTCTTCTTAGATACTTCATTGAAATACTTTGCAGTTTATTTTTTAGTCTGGTGGTGAGCGTCCAGCTTTCACATCCAAATGTTAAGATAGGTACAAAAACTGTGTTGTAGATGGCTATCTTTGCTTTTTGGGATACTTCTTTTTTCGATAGAAATGTGCTCTTAATTGCGGGGTATATCCGGGAAGCGTTTGCTATTCGATTGTTTATCTCTGCTTCTTGTGTACCCCTACTCTCTAGTTGCACTCCCAGGTATTTGAATGTTTCTACTTGTTCCAAAGTATATTGATTTTAATGTTTGTATGTTGGTCTGTTTTCCCACATACCATGACCTTGGTTTTACTTTCATTAATTCTCAGATTACGTTTTTCAAGTTTATCTCTCCATATTTGGAGGTTTCTCTTAAGTGCGTCCTCGTTTCTTCCAAATACGACGAGGTCATCTGCAAATGTGCACTCCGCTATCTGTATCATTTCCAGGTTTCTATGCCCAACAAATATTCTCGATGTTTCTTCTATAGTTTCCTTCATTACATCATCTAGCACAATATTGAACAGGATGGGGCCTAGTACACCTCCTTGTCGTAAGCCATCATTGACACTAAACTCTTCTGATTCCATATTATCAGTTCTTACTCTGTTTCTTGTGTTCTTGTATACGCCCATAATAGCTTTTCTGAGATTGCTGTCTACTTCTCTGTTTCTTAGGCTTTTGTCTATTTCGGTTCGCGGGGTTCTATCAAATGCTTTTTCGAGGTCTATGAAAGCTTGGTATAGTTACGTGCTTGTATTTCGTAAATTTTGTATTAGATGCTTGAGTGTAAAAATATGGTCATGGATGCTTCTTCCCTTCCTGAAACCGCTATGAGACTGCTCCAGCTTATGGTCTACTTATTGTAGTAGTCCTTTCTCCAGTGCTCGTTCGTAAACTTTGGAAGGGATACTCAAGAGAGTTATACCTCTGTAGTTGCTGCATTCTCGTATGTCACCTTTTTTGAAAATGGGTAGAATAACGCCCACTTCCCAATCTTTTGGGATCTTGTTCTCATTCCATGCTTTATTGCAAACTTTTCTAAGCATTTCATTTCCATTTTCTCCCATATTTTTTAGCATTTCCGCAGTTATCTTATCATAGCCCGCTGCCTTTCCTCTTTTGAGCCTGAGTATTATTTCTCTTATTTCTTCTATTGTTATTTCGTTTTGGATTGGGTTCTCAAAAGGGTTTTCTTCAGAGTTATCTATTTCATTATTATAGTCTTTTTAGTCAGAAGGTCTTCGAAATATTCTCTCCACCTATTCATAATACTTTCGTTCTCGCAGAGGATGTGGCAATCTTTGTTTTTAATTTGTTTTGGTGCTTGTTGTCTGTTCTCTGTTCTTAGGCTTCTCAGGGTTTGGTAAAATGGTTTTTGTTAGTGTGGTAGTCTTTCTCCAGCTTATTCCCAAAATCCTCCCAGCTCTTCTTTTTTGCTTCAATCACCATTTTTTTTACTTTTGCCCTCTGTTGCTTATATTTTTGATAGCTTTCTGCATTCTGGTTCCCTAGATATTTCTTCCACGTTAACTTCTTGGATTTGACCTCTTCTTTTATTTCGTTTCCCCACCAATTCGTTCATTGTCTGTTTTTATTGATTTTAGCTATTCCGCAGATTTGCTTGCCCCCATCTAGAAGAGATTCTTTAAGTTTTTGCCAAGTTTCTTCTAAGTCATAGTTTTGGTTTAAGTGCTTTTGTAGACTATTGTTTACATAGCTTTTATATTTCTGTGCTATTTTCTTATCTGCTAACTTGTATGACCTAATAACTGCGTTGGTGGGGTTTCTTGAGGTTCTGTCTCTTTTTCTTGGTACCTTCTGCATGCGTTTTTGTTTCACACCGATACTAGTTCGGGATACTACCAGATAATGGTCGCTATATATTTCTGCCCCCCTTTTGACTCTGACATCTTTGATACACTGTCTTAAGGGTCTGTTTACCAATACATAGTCAATAATGGACTTTTCTCCTCTACTCTTGACTTCTCTGGTATATTTGTATAAAAAACATACCAACAACAATATACAAACCATCAAAAACATCTTCTTCCATAAACGAATACAGGCAAAGATAAATGAAAAACTAACACAGTGAATACCAGTACAAAGCGGAGTCAGACAAGGTGACTCGTTAAGCCCACTTCTGTTTAATATAATAATGGACGAAATAATACAAGCAATACATAAAGCTAAACATGGTTACAGAATGGGGAACAAAGAAATCCAAATATTATGTTATGCAGACGACGCCGCATTAATCACCGAAACAGAAAACAAGCTCCAAAGATTAACACATATCTTCAATACAATAGCCAAGAAATACAATATGATAATATCAGCAGAAAAAACTAAATGTATAACAACATCTAAATACCCACTACGATGTAAAATCGAAATTGATGAGAAGGTAATAAAGCAGGAAGCAAGGTTTAGATATCTGGTAATAGATACAACTATAAATAGTTACGGATATGTCGAAGTAGAATTACGATAAGCTTAAAAGCAAGTAAAGTGGCGGGATCTTGTAATGACAATCTTGTGTAGAACAAACGCCTAAGACAAGACACAAAAACCAGAATCTATAAAGCAGCAATTAGACCTATATTAAGTAACATACACGGCGGAGACAAGACCTGACACATCTAAAACGAGACAACTACTAGGAACAAAGAGATGAAAATACTCCGACATTTTACAAATCTTACAAAGTCATATCCTTCATTCAGTTCATTAACCTCAAACTTCTCAAAAAGTCCAGCGTTTTTATATCTAAAATCGTTACCAGTTTGTGTTTTTTGAGTAGAATGTATATTTTACTTTCTTGAATATATTTGATCATGTTTTTTTTCCTTTGGTTGTTTTTCACATTCTCTTATCATAGTTCTTTTAAATCGTGGTTAATACCATAAACCTATCTCATTCAGGGCCTACCTCTCGGCTTCTTCCCGTTTAATTCTTTTCTAAGTACTGTTTTTTGTTTCTGTTATCATCCATCCTTTCTACGTGTCCCAACCAACTTAGTTGTTTAGTTCGTATATATTTTGTGACAAATCGCAGAAACGGACGCAGCCACCGGGTTTAACACGTTCACCAAATGGATCCAGAAATGGTCGCAAGCTCAACCAAATACTTTGCACCACAGAGACACCACCTAGTTTTGACCTACCACGTAAGACCTGGTGCAGACTTAACCGCATCAGAACTTAACATGGTCGATGTGCGTATATGTTGCATATATTGCGTAAACTAACATCAACACATCGTCATGAAACTGTGGGAGGACCTTTCTACAAAGCACATAATGAAGGAGTTTATAATAAGTATTTTTATATAAAGTCAATTTTAATTAAACTTGTTTATTGTTTATTGTAATCCCATAATCCCATACTTTATCGTGTCAAGACTGTTGCTTCTTTTGTCCAATAATTTCGATATCATCAATATTTTATTAGCATAGTATATAGGATTTCCACTGGAAATACATGCATTAATTTCGCTACTTACGGAATTCTTCTGATTGGTTTCTGTGCCCAGATATGTAAAGGTATCCACACGTTCAATAGTATAGTTGTCTATTGCTACATTATTTTCATTCTCAGGTATTCTTTTGATGGTCATGTACTTAGTTTTTGCTTCGTTTATTTTGAGATCTCTTTTTTGTGCTTTAGGATCAATTTGCTTGAACATTTCCATTAGTCGTGTCTTGCTTCTACTAATAATGGCGACGTCAACTGCATATGCAGTAATTTGTACTGTTTTAGTGTTTACATGGCCGGTAAAATTGGTTTTTCTAATGACTGCTTCAAGAATTAATTTGAACAGCATGGTTGAAAGTGCGTCTCCCTGTGTCACTTCCATGTTGATGTCGAACAGGGGAGATAGTTCTCCATCTGCGGCTTTTGCACCCTGCAACATCATTTTTATGAGGCTGATATATTTTTTTGGTATACCTAGATTTTGGAGGTCTTCCAGCATATTGTCTCTTTTTACACTATCAAAAGCTTGTTTAAAGTCTATATACATATTATATAGTTTTATGTCGTATTTTTATTACTCTTATTATTCAACTTATATTACAGGAAATGGTCTATGGAAAGAGGGGACCAGGAAAAAGTAGAATATCTTGGCTCCAGAACTTACGAAAATGGTTTTCCTTAACCACTTCAGGACTATTTTCAGCTGCAGTCAATAAAGTTAGAATTGTCATGCTGGTAGCCAATATCCGTAACGGATATGCACCACAAGAAGAAGATGTTGTATTCATAAGCTTTCTCT